CCCCGTTACACCCCCCACCCCCACCCCAGGCATCCATCATCAAAACACTGGCCCAGAAATCCGTGTGCCACTTACTCTCAACCAGAACACTGGAAAAAAAAGATTGTTCTCAATGGTTTTGTCAAATCCTTCCACACCAACTCAAATACTCCCTTATCTACTCTTAAAGGAGGGCCCCTTCCAGGGTTGATGGGACTTCCAGGGATTCTCCAGGAAACTGCTATCAGTTATTCCCTTCAACAGCCAAGGGGAAACTAAAATTAAAATTAATGGAAAACCTTTCAACATTCTGGTAGATACCAGGGCTACACTTTCTACTTTAACGCCCATTCATTCTGGTGCCTGCAGATGGGATCCTAGGAAAGCTCGCAGGAACTGAGGAAGGGTGAGAATTCCTACCAGAGTCAGCACTCCTGGATCTTTGTAGTGACAGGCACAGAAACAAAGGTAACATTTCAAGTGGTCCCTTCTTTTCCAAATTTTGACCCACTGGTGATACATCCTTTCTCTCCCAGGAAATTGCTTTCTGGCACAACATGTTGCCATCAATTGAAACAAGTTTTCTGTTCATGTTTTCCCCTGACAAATTTAGTGCCTTCTTCCATCTTAACTAAGCACTTATCACCCACTGTGGCCATAACTCGCAGCTGGGGGTGTGACAGCAAAACAAGCACAAATGTTTTTCCTTTATCACAATTTTATAGATAGAAAATTCATTCTTACCGTATATCTCAGCAACTTCAGCATACGTTTGTTGTCTTTCCTTATTAAGAGCTTTCACCTTTCGCTTAAAGGAAGCACTTTATGGCTTCTCTTTGGCATATCCAAATTGCCAGTATTACTACTCGTGCGCTTTGCGGCCATCATTAAGGAAAATAAGGGCTACTTGAATACAAACACTGTGATACCTCAACAGTCAATCTGATAACCTAGATGGCTGCGGACTAACAGGCGGGGCGGGATTAGAGCGTGGCAATGTGATTCACGCCCTGGAAGGGGCGGAGCGGACTTGGGCGATTCCATCAGGATACTCAGAATGGTGTGCATTTTAATACTTATGAATTGTTTATTTCTGGAATTTTCCATTTAATATCTTTAAACTGCAATTGACGGTGGATAACTGAAAATACAGAAAGCAAATTCATGAATAAGGGGGTGCTACTGCATCCATATTCTAGTAGTTAAGGTTTGGGTATTATCATCTGTGTATTAAATTTTTGATATCTTTAGTCTACCTATCGTAACAACTAAATTTTTGTCATTCGGGGGGGGGGAAACCAAAAAGAAAGAACTTGTGAGGACTAGGCAGTTGTTAGCAATGATAGAAAACTAAACTTTTCTTTATTTTGGATCTTAGCAAGCTCAAAAACAAAATCAGAATACTTTTATGGTATCAACTTAAAAAAGCTCTTTAAGGCCCTAACATGTTTTGATTATCTGACTGAACTATATCCAATATTAATTTGGTGGCTATATTTAACAAATATGAAGCCCTTACTGTGTACCACGCAGTTTTCGGTGTGAGGGATACACCGGTGAGCAGGCTGCTTTCACAGAGCCATGTGCTGGTGGGAGAGACAGACAATAAACAAACAGATGGATATGTCAATTTGTGATAAGCATTACAAAGAAAAGAAAGCAGGGTAAAGAATAGCTAGTGATGGAGCAGGGGGCGCTTTCTTTCCGTTTCTCCAGGAGTCTCCAGCTCACTTGTACCTCAGCACTTTTGTAAGTGAAGTTTCCCCTGTCTGGGTCCCCTTTCTCTTCCTTTCTGGTTTCCCTTTTGCTTGGTTACCTGTCACTCTTCTTCAGAGCTCATCCTCAAATCACTTCCTTAAGGAAGCCTGCTCTGCCTCTTCAGAAGAGAGCAAGTTCAGGCTCCCACTCAGTCATGGCACCTAAGGTTCTTCATTGTACAGAGCACACTGATGATGGACTGTGTATAAACTTGTTCAATGCCTTTGTCCCCTCCAGACTGTCAGTTCATGAAAGCAGAACCTGTGTCTTCCTCACTGCTGAACCTCTAGAACCTTGTACTTGGCAGAGTACATCTGCATAATTTTCAGTATACCAGAATATTCAATTAAACAGAGGAGTCCCCATTCCCAAGTCTGTTTACAAAACGCTCTGCTTAATCTTGTAGGCCATTTAAGTAATTTTAGCAATGGTTTCTGTAGCAAGATTAATCTACATACATTTGGTTCATTTGATTATAAATATCAATATACTAGCTTATGATGTCACTACCATTTCACTTTACCAACCTTCCTTGCTCTTGGAAACCTCTGCTAACTGAACTACAGTTTCAAATGAATAATCTTTTATTTGTAAAAGATTGAGTCATAAATAAGCAGAATCAACCCATGCTTTTATTTTCATTGCATATAAAAATTTCATATGAAGGTATCGATGTACAGTACTATCCCCATGGGCTGGAAGAGGCTAAGAAACCACTAAAAGAATCATCATTTGAATTGCTCACACACAATTTACCACTCTGAAAACATTATCTAAAGAAATAAAATTAACTAAAATCAGTTAAGGATGTGTTTTTGTCATTATAGTGTCCCCTTTATACTGTTTAAAACAAAAGTAATCAAATTCCTTTGGGCCAGGGCTGCTAAAATCTACAGTTTGTGTCAAAAAAATGAAACAAAATCATAGGCGGCTCATTATTTTCCTAGAAAAAGAATCTCTCCTTTCATTGTCTTGCTTTCTGAGGGCTGGGCAACAGTGGAAGGAGGTTTCCACATCATCCACTGGAAATTTCTCATGGCTTTCAGGGGCTGGCCAGTGTGAAATTTTAAAATTCTATAGCAATTTAAGTTTTGCAGAAACAAATTCTAGAGAATGGTGAATCCTTTATGCTATGTGAATTGGCATTGTATGAAACTTTGCGTTTACATATGGACTTACACATACAAGAAAAATTTTGGTTGATCTTAGCTGAAGGAAAATTCCAGGGTTAGAAAAAAAATGACCATTTTCATAGTATATATTCTCTTAACACGACAGGAAGCTGATTAATAAGTGACTAACCAACATGTGTGACCTACGGCTCTAGTTTCAAATCAAGTTCATTTACCTCTGTGTTCTAGAAGCCAAAAAGGCTTTTTATAATCACTGGACAAGGTTGTATTTTCCCAGTAGTGTTGGCAAGTAGAAAACAAATGTAACTAACACAACTAGCTCTTGATCAACAGCTAGGGAAAACAATCATTATATATGCAATGCTGCTTTACAGCAAGAAGTACTTAAGAGCTTGTATCTCAAAAGGGTTTCAGCATCTTCCAGAGGTTGTGTGTGGTTTTGTGAAATCCAGCCACTGCCAGAAAATGAACTGATTCAAAGTTCCGATATACAATGCCCAGCCCTAGCCCCATTACCTTACTTTCAAATGCAGCAAAACAGAAGAAAATATTGGTTAAAGTTAAGGCACAGCCCTGGGACCAAAGACCTGCAGCTATGTTTTCTAAATTTATATATCTTTATGTATTTTATAGTTTTCTTGAATCTTCCATAAACAAGCTCTAAGGTGACAAGACTATATTACAGGAGAAAAGAAAATGTACAAGGAGTATGTATACACACCATTCATTCTCTCACCAAGAGTTTCCAAATATATCAACACCATCCCATCATGGGATGATGTTTTAATAAGAACTGATAATTTACAATTAACATTACAGTATGTACATTACAATAAATACATGGTTGTAAACAGACAAACAAGACTGTATTACAGGTAAGGTCATTTGGTGAGAAAAAAAAATGCATGGCACACAAAAAAATAAATAATGCATTTAAAAATTATCATAAAGCTTTCTGTGAAATCCATTTCATTCAAGTTTTTTTTCCTTATCTGCAATTTGTTCTATCTACATTATTTTCTTGTGGATTTTAAGTGATGTCAAAGAAAATAAAGTTAAAACAGCATTATTATGTTTCATAACTTGCAAGCTGAAATGTACTGGTTTTATGCAAACTTGGACATTTTTTTCCCCATACAGTACCCAGATATTGCGTTTTCTTATGGCATTATAGGAAATGTAAAGCCACTTGTAAAAGGGTGTTCGCTTTAAAGCGCTGTGTGATTCTGAAGCACACTTGGGCGAGAGGAGAGAAGGGGGAAAGAAGGCAGAGGGTAAGCAGATTGTACAGTGCGTTCGTCCCTGTCTCATGGATATTATGCATTTTCTACAATTTGATTGTCCATTAGTGGGTATCTTCACAAAATGTGACCAAGAAAAACCAACAAATTGAAAAAAAAAAAAAGCCTCTCTTTTTTTAGTGCAGTTATAAACCCTTTCAGGTCTGGATTTGCTTGTGACATATTGCTGCTTAAAATTATTTTTTTCCATTATTAAGATTCTAGGCACTCTGTGGGGGAAATACCAAGTATCAGGGAGAGGTGGGATTCGGATATTTTGGAAAAAAGAATAAACCCTAGATTGCCTTTTTCTTCGAGACCTCTATCAGGGATAAATAAAATGAAAACAGAAACAAGTTCCCAAGTGTTTTTGTGAAGTCACTTGGCCAAACATAGGACTTTCTTTGGAAGATGACTTACTAACTTTTATAAATCTGGTAATTAATTGGTACCTATTCTGCTCTGTGTAAAAGATCAGAGCTATATAATTTTTCTATCAGAGTTTCTAAGCATCAGATTTCAGGGGGTTAAAACAGGAATTATCTTCAGCATGGGTCATTTCCTTGGCTGACGTCTAGTTACTAGTCCTCAGAAAGCTCCCTGCGACATCCTAGATATAAATGTTTTTCAGGGTTGCACTTTTTCTTAACTGTTTTATTTTCCATTTGGTCAGATCCCCCGTTTAGTCTCTATGTCAATTCTTGGGATATCAATGTGAAAAATGATTATTTGGGTTCCAAATTCTTCACAGAGAAGGTAAACACTTTATCAAGAACTGAAATGGGAAGAAAGTCCAAACTAAATAAATGCTCCAAGATGCCAACTGAAGGTAAATACTGGGAATTAATCTCCAAAACTGTAATATAGTTCTTGGTGCTAAATTCAGCAAAGAGCGATCTCTAATTTTGTATTTCAGCAGAATCTTTTTACTCATCCCAGTATTCTCGGATGGCATTATATTACCAAACCTCTGGGGCCTGTGGCATCACCAACTTCTTTACCCATTTAAAGAAGTTGTCCTCTACAAGACATGCTTATGAACCAATAATTGACAAAGCAATTCCTACATGTCACATGGTTGTCTGTTAAGGAAGGGTAGTTGCTACTCTTAAAATCACTTCTCAAGAATATTCTTCATATAGTTCTTAATCCCATGGTGAAATCATAGAAACAAATAAACACCAGTTGTACTGGTGTCGTTGAATATATTCTGCTAATATTGCTAAAACTGCCTACCTACCTGTTACATTTTTCTCTGTAAATCAAGAGTAAAAGCTAGTCATTATACATTACCTCGCAGTAGAAATGAATGCTAACTCTAGCCTGACTACCTGTTTCTTTTCATCAATCAAAATGGTGATGATATATTTGATAAGACCCTATCTAGTGAATGTGGACTGCGGTTCAAACACACGCTAAATGATGAAGCAGCCAGCACAAAGGGAAACAGTCTTTCTTACTATATCTGACTGTGGAAACAATAAAAATGAGCATGACATGTGTGGGTTATTACAAAGACATGCACTTATGAAATGGAGAGTCTATTGACATAGCAAAAAGTTATCAGAAGACATTAAGTATGAAAATATCTAAAAAAGACTGATCATTTTAGCTACTGGGTATTTATATATCTCTCACTTGCTTCAGAAAACACCAACTGATGGTTGAGTGTCCATGAGGCTTAAGACACAATAGACAGAACACACATCAAAGTATTACTGAACAAATATTCACTTTGCACACTGTGAAGAAAAATGTCAGTGGAGAGCAACTCTGCTTATCTGAAAACAATGACACAAAAAGCAAAGTAAACGAAGACCTACAAAAAAGAGCTTCCTGCAACATAAAATTAGGTTTTGTTTAAAAATATGGAAGTCATTGGTATATAAAACAATGAATCACTACAAATCAGTTAATTGCTATGAACGATAAGGTGCAAGTAAAATTCGTAAATTAGGTTTATCCAGTGTAGCACAGATTTGTACTGAAAACTTGCAAGTTACTCCTTAGAAAAAAACCAGTGGCAGATGAAGTTCTGAATATAGTTTTTTTTTGTTTTTGTTTTTTTTAAATATAATACCTCAGTACATTTAATAATAAAAGTAAGCTCTACAAAAAATCTGTTTTACATATCATACAAAATGGAGAGGTCAGTGCGGCTCACTGAACCACACTGTTCAGTCATGTATCAGGAAGACTTGAAATTAGAAAATTATGCGATTTCCGTAGCTCGTCTTCCTCCTGGTAACAGACTCGCGCTGTTTCGTGCTCCTGACCCGTGTGTTGCTTCATCCATTAGTACATGCTGTCTGTGTAGTGCTTTCTTTCTGCTGTACGTATTGCAAACAAATAAAATGAAACAGAACCCCGAATCATATCCACTTTGGGACTGTCTGATGAGCCACACTTTCTTGAAAACATTTTGGGGTTGATTTTCTCTGCGTGGTCAGCTTTACCAAGCTGAAATCGTGTTAAAATGCTGCTGCTCATGAAGACATCCCCCTTTGCTCCGATCTCATGGAGGTGAAAAAACAATATTCCTGAGCGCCAGACTGAGTAGTCAAGGTCAGTTTTGTTCAACAAACGTCCTGGCAGATGACAGTGAGGTGTGACCATGGTTGTGGCATGTGACATGCACTTTGGAAACAATTTTTCTACTTAAAAAACAACAACAACAACAACAAAATAAACTAAAAACAAAAAAGGCATGAGAGTCTTTTGCACTGTTACGTGTCAGGGGAATGATCATCTATTACGCCAGCTTCGGGCTGGCTTTCCTCCTCTTCCCCTACCGTCTCCTCTTCTACCTGCTCGTCCAGGGGAATTTCAGTCGACTCTGAGTCTTGGGTACAGAGAGTCTTGGAGTCGCTGCAGCTAGTGTCTTCTTCCACTTGACTTCCACTGTCCTTCTCAGTGTCTGACTCGCCGTCTTCCTCTAACGTCAGTTCAAACTGGAACTTCTCGGTTTGACCCGGCCGGCCCTCCTCCTGGTCATCAGGTGCTGGGGACGGGCTCTGAGGAATTGTGCTCTGGTACCACTCGCGATTGTCCTCCAAAGTGTCCAAAATGTCTTGGGCGTCAGGGTGTACAAGGTCCGCCCATGTCTCCCACAGAGGATGAACAATATAGTCTATGAAGCCCACCTGGTTAAAAAGAAATCCAATTTGAGTACAGGGCTTGGGACTAAGAACTAATGGAAAAGGTTAACTGGATCCCACAAATCTAGCTCATATCTATCTATCTATCTATCTATCTATCTATCTATCTATCTATCTATCTATCTATCTGATTTACATAAAAGAAATATAACATTGAACAGAAGATGACTAGCCTTAGTTTTGTAAAACTGTTAACTATGTTAGGCAACAGACAATATAAAAGTATTGTTACCAGCTGGTGAAAATTAGCTTCTAGAGCTCTCAGCTCAAGAGCATGTTGGCAACATAAAAACTCTACAGTTGATGTGGTAGGGCTTGGCTTGAGGCCTGGACTTTACTTCAGAATAGCCAATTTATAGGTGAATTCAGATAACTGAAATAATTCCATGTACTCCATATAAATTCATACAACTTCATTTATGAATTCAGATAACAAATATGTCTATACCTATGAATATACTATGTAAATATACCCATAGTGAATGAATATAACCCCGTAAGAATGTATAAATGACTATACACATATAAATCATAAGAATGGGTTTTCTGGCTTATAAACACAAATGTGAAATTGAGCTTGCAAAACTAAAGTACTAATTAAAAAAAAACCACACACTAAAATGCTGTGTGATGGGCATACAAAGTAATCAAACGTTCAAGCTGCAGTTCTGTTCTCTCTGAAAGCACTATGCTTAATGCATCACCTGTGATTTTTCCACAGATGCATTGTGCTTGTCACACATGGGGCTTATCTCCATGCCGCGCTCCCTCTCTCGGTCTCCTTGGCGGAAGAACTCCTCCATTATGCGGTCTGTCCACTGACGGTACAGCTGCAGAGGCTTGGTTGGATTGCTCAGGTCTGCACAATGCACCATATTCTGCAGGACCTACAAGAGACAAATCCCTTCTTTTTTCAGCACCTTTTTTTTTTTTACTAGAAATTCACATCGAATGACTGTGACACTTAAAAATACATGTAGTGTAAGACTCTTTCCAAACAGCTCAATGATGATGTGTCTCTGTGTGGTTCGCACTTGTATTAATAGTCCCAAACTGTGCCACCTCTGCCGCATTTAAATATCAAGAGAAACTGTTTATATGCATGGTTGATTTAACTCAGAGCTGCTGAAGAGGCTGGTTTTGTGGGGTGTTAGAGTTTTTTTGAAACATATATGCAAATGAAAAGACTAGTAATATTTTATCTTAAGTTTCGAGATTAAGAATTTGAATAAAACTCCTGCTTATAATTACTAAAATTATAAGGTAGAAGTGAGACATAAATCTTATCAAAGTTAGACACACAGACACATGTGAAAATTCAAGTCATGTTTTACCTGAATCCGATCAGAATAATTATCAAGAAGAAGAACTCCAGAACTTGTCACTTTCTTAGTTTCAACCATAGTTTTCAAATCAGCCAGTAGATTCATGTGTTTCGACATGTCTGTTGCAAGTACCTTAAAGACAAAGAATATTTTATTAAATAAAAAAGTCCAGAGGAAAAAAAAGTCAAAATTTGCAAATGAAAATAATATGCAGGATGTGAGAAAAAATGGAAAACCACTATGTCATCTAATAGCTGTGTATGGAAATTCTTTACTACTTCTCGGGACAGTCTTCTTCTCATTGCTGTCAAGTTTTCTGGAAACCCAGATATATGCGTGCAATATATAGAAAAGAAACATTAGGATTGACAACCACTTCCATGGTTAAAAAATGGCATTGTATTTCCATGGATAGGACATCATCACATATTTTTTCCATTCCTTGGACTAGAAAGTGGTTACTTTGAATAGGCTATGATGAATGCATTCAAGATTGCTCATAGAATACGTCAGAAACACAATATTTTGGGTAATTTTCTGCTTATCCAAGGCAGATAATTCTTGTCTTTGTATATACAAAGCTTAACAGAATAACTATTTGAGAGCCAGAGGTTTTCCTGTGTCTCATAATCACTGTGAATAACATTCCTAAAGCAAATATTTAAATCATGGATGCCTCTAAATGGCAGTCTATTGATGCAGATTTCGCCCCCTACATTTTGAATGGAAAAAATCCACTCCGGCTAAGGCCAGCACCCTTTGCTCTTGTTAGTCATCTTTCTCTGCCCGTCACCAGGTTGGAGGAGTTCAGAAAATAAAATTAGAATGATGAGGCTAAGCTGTCATTATTCTTAGCTTCAAACTGCTAGAAGTAGAAAGCCTATTACAGAATATCATTACAGCAGCAGGAGCAACATCGCAAACATAAAAGGCAACATTAGGCTCTGAAATATACAGTTCCTTTCACCTGATACTCATCTTATTCTTATTTTTTTTAAAACAATTTGCATCAGTTCTCATTTTTGCTTTTATCAGCTACTTACAATGTCAATGACCATTTTCCTTAATGATTGTCTTTGCTTTTTGGTCAAATTCTGGAAAATGTCACAGTTTTCTTCCTGAAGCAATTTAAAGCCCACAGCCAAATGATGGTTCTCCAAGACAGAAGAATCGTTGTACATCAAGGCAAGTTCAGAGTCTTGAAAGAAAGACAAAAGATGAACAAAGCCATTTATTCCAAGTCAATCTAATTCTTCGTATTCTAAGATACTTTGGGTGTAGGGTGCAATTTCCCCTAAACATCTCTGCTGGCCATACCATTACATGATAGCACCTCACAGAGAATGCACTTGTTATTGCAACATTGGAAAGAGCCCTGGGATCTTGGGAGTACATTCTAACCCTACTGACATGTGGCGAGGGGTTTCACCCTGAGGGCCTCAGCTTTCTCTTTTCTCCCCTCCAGATCTACATGGCTTCATAGCTTAGCAGAAAATGACATTCTTCTTAACATTTACACCATGTCCAGAGCATAGGGCCTTGTGTTCCTAATAACTGTGCACCACCTACCCAGCATTTTATATAATGTAAGGATCATATGAGTTAGGATTATTTGTGCTCAGAGAGCGCATAAAAACAGGAACACACGAACAAAACTAGATTTGTTCGGGCTGCTCTTACTTATTTCCATCCGCAGTACAGCTTTGAAAGTTGAAGCTTCATTCATTTTTCCATTTCCTTTTCCAAGTATTGTGCAGTCACTATACACATGTAGGTTGCCCTTCCCACATGTACACTCCTGGCTGCACACAGACATGGATGTCAGGCTGCCTACGTAACTCCACATGGAACAATCTGCGGCTCTCTCACAACTGCCCTGGACCTGTGCATTTTAGGCAGCAGGAGACCCTGCCTCCTTAGTAGTTCCTGTAAATAGCAGATCCAGATCTATACGGTAGTGATTAAAAAAAAAATTGACTGATGCTTTAATCTGTTTTCACTTAAGTCACTGTAAAGACTAAAAGTGCATGTGTTTGATTTTTTTACTAATGCACAGAAAATATATTTGGAAATGTATATTCTTTTCTAAGAAAGAAATATCCAATACAACTCAATTACTATTTTAAAGGTGCTAAGAAGGAGAAGAGAGGTTCAAGATACATATATTTCCACTATATATAATTTTTATCAGTACTATAGAAATAGAAATTTACACATCTAACTTTTTGCCCCCAAACTACAGGAACAGAGATGTCTATAGTACCAGGCAGTGGTTTTTTATGGTGTTATTATCTTTGTTTTATTTTTTGATAAAGCAATGGTGTTCATTTTTAAAAAGCCAGTATCTAGTCAAGTTGACTTTTAAATAATCTATAAGAGTCTCTAACTATGAACATTTATTTATCTATAGATGGTTAAACATATAGAAATAAAAAATTTAAGCTATAAAGGATCTCACACACAATATTATTATTTGTACAGCAGGTTCATATTAAATAACATATACTAAAAAAAGGCATAATGTTTTCTGATTAGAGATAATGACTAATTGATCTATTAGGGTTTCTCTAAGGGCGCAAATATGCGTGTAGGTAAGGAGCATTGATAGAAGAACTGCCTCAGGCTTACAAAATTCTGGATTAGTTTATATGCCCCCTGAAGAATGATGGAAGAAATTAAGGCAATTGAACCTGCAGAAGAAAAGATGAGAAGCTGTCACTTGAAGGAAGAGGCTGATCTGGGCAGGAACATTGTAACAGAGTCTGATTCTATTCAACCCAAGGATGGCCGTTTAGGCAAAGGACTGTCTAGGAGCCCTAGCCAAGCCTGCCTCCGAAAGCACGTAGCTTCTGACATTTAAGAAGAGTGAAGACTGGCCAGGAAGGCCATGGAATGATTCTTGTTGGACCGGTGGGCCTCTACTGCCTCTGCAAACTCAGGCTAGTCCAAAAAGGTGGTGGCGACTGCTGGTATTTAAATTGAATGAATGCTGGCATTTAAGCAACGCTGAGGGTAGACATTTAACTTTCTTCTCTTCTTTAGGACTGTAGATGTGTGGTTGCATCTAAAGGGGAGGTAAGATCCTGCAGTTCCTGAGTTGATTTCCCACAAAGGTGGCAACCCTGCATGTCTATGAAGATTCCTTGAAGGTTCAGAGATAATCCGAAAGTTGCCTTCATACTTTGTTATATAGTAAAGTAGCTCGGAGTAGGAGAGAGGCTAGTTTATATAACAGTTTTGTTGAAACCCCCTCATTTCCCAAGGCACAGGATGAGTCACCTCTTCCATGAAGCCTGTCTTGATTACCACAGGCAGAATTGCTCACTTTCTCCTCTAAACTCCAATATACTTTGTACCATTCATTTGCATTTATTATATGTCACCTTATTTGTCATTTTATCTGTACAAGTCTTAAGAGTCCCTCCCAAAGACCTCCCAACCCAGTTAGTGACTTAAGACCTTACATGAAATTAAATGTTATTAATTTAATGTACTTGGTTATCTGGTCTCTCCTGGGCACTTCTGAACAAAACAGTTTTCCTTGAAACGGTGAAAGCACGTGGTGGTTTTAACTTAATATCCAGTTTCCAAGGACGGCCCGGCTCACTCCCTCAATTCACTCACTCACCGTGCCCTTAACTTGCATTATTTTTCTCCGCCGAACTTAGTGCTATCTGATATCACATATTCACGTGTTATAGTCTGTCTTTTGTAACAGTATTCCTAGTGCCGGGGACAAGGTTTGCCACAGAGTACACTCTCGATATTTTTTGTTTTTGTTGAATAAAATAATGATCTCTGCAGTTATTTCTATATAATCACATTCGACAAAAATGAATTTATCCTTATTTTGAAAGTGTTAGATTTATACAGAAAAATAACATTATATATATATATATATATATATATATATATATATATATAATTAGCTATGGAAAGCTTATTTTAAAATGAGACTAGAAAAATTAAAAAAAAGTGTGTGTAGCTAGACCTGGGTCCACCTTAATGCAATGAAATGCCCTGCTCTTGGAATCAAAAGATATGCTTTGAACACATGACTCATGTGAGTAAATCCTTATCCCCCAAACTTAGGCATCATTGCTATAAAGAAAACTTACTCATTGTCCAAGTAAAATTTAATGGTACATAGTTTCTGTACTTCTGACATTGCTTTACTGTTTCAGAAAATAATGCTCTGAAGTTTAATACGTTTTTTATGAGAAATACCCACCAGCATGTCATATTCAAAACTTGATGATGCTATTTACATTTTATGGATTTAGTTACACGTATTGTCATGAAAAAATACTTCCATAACTTCCCACCTGGAATTTCAATCTTAAATCCTATTCAGATTCCCCCCACATATCCCTAAATCATTTATAAAAGCTTAACGAACTCTGTCAGGTAGAAATGATCTGTTTTCAAAACCTATGGCATGTTTACAATGAGTGTACATATCATTAGTATCAAATCATTTGGCACTTAAAACTAACACAAATGGAACAATTAATGGAAACTTGTCACAGCTAAGAAGCAGAGGTGTATAGACTCAGAATCAAGTGAGGTCCAGTCCCTCCCTACTGAGGCAAACCATGCGACCTCATGGTGCCTCTGAAGCATCCTTAAAATAGACAGATGACCTCCCAAGTATGGGTTTATACATTTGATGATTAGAGCCTTTAGGACTCTTTATTACAGGAAACGTAAATCCAACCTTTGGCTTCAGATAAGCTGGCAGCACCAGCTCCAAGAGCAAGAGCTATGAGTGAGCTAGTCTGAGCTTCTGATGCTCAATCCATGAAATAAAGAGAACATAAACTTAGTGTCTATAAAAAAAGAGTGTACTACAAACCAAAAAAAAAATTTTTGATAGATTATTTCACAATGCTATTATAAGTTTACAAGTCATTCAAGGGAATCCTTTATAACATGCTATGAAGTTAAAACTTATTTGGCTACTAAGCTTCCTCTATGCCCTGAAATAAAATGCTTGCTGGCACGATCCCTAGTCAAAAGCTAACTAAGGCAGCCATTCTCATAATGCCCTGGGGTTCTGATCCACCCTGGGACACTTTCATGTGCCAGATGACGACGATGATTCACTCTCTCAGGACTAACACAGCCTCGTCACACCTCACCCTCGAAAACACATCCATCAGCCATCCGAAGCTGCCGGGAACTGTTAACCTCCCAGGGCTGCTGAGGTCCCTCCCAATGCTGAACAACAAAATACTTCCAGAAGCGGGATTATTTAGCCTTCCACCTCAGGCAGGTCATCAGGAAAATGACCTTCAACACACACCCTTGTTGCATAAATACACACTGCCATTGTATTTATAACCCCCTACATGTGTCTATTATCTATCTCAGTGGGTCTCAAACTTTGGAGCATGGATGCATCTGTGGATTCAGGCTGTGCTAGCTTCAATCTCAGGCTCTGTGGGCACGCTGACCTCACAGGAGTTCCCAGGGCCAGCCTAAGCCCCTTTGCTCTGAGCGCCCAGGAGAGAAAATAACAGAGTTGGTTCTCATTTTTTTTTCTTCAAAAATTTATCAGAGGACTCAGAGACAGTACTCTGACGACAGTTAATTTTTTCTCTAACCTGTTCTTAATTCTAATGTTGTAATAAGGGGACACACTATATTATATATAATAGGAAGCAATTCAGACACCAGGGTGAATTGTTGGTGTCAGTAATTTGAAGAAAAAACACATGCCTTTCTTAAAGGTAAAAATGAAAACAAATTTTTTTATGAATTTGTTAAAAACGTATAAAATGACCAACATATCAAGGCATGTATAACCATGAAAATAATAAATCGGGCCAGGCTGACGAAAGGTACCAGTGTACACTGTACTGTATGATCTCCCTGCTCTTCTCAGGAAGGTCACAGTCAATCCTAACAGATGATACAATGTACACTCATGCAGCTGCAACCTGATGTGTATTACTATTTATGGGTTCATGTTCAGTGATGCTTTAATGATTCCTGAAAGCACCCCATTATAGGTGTTTATAAGGTAGTTGGAATATGAAATGTTATCCTGTCTATCTTCGATATAGTATAAATTCATAAGCCAAACTTCTAAAATGTACTTGTCTAACTATACATTTTAGGAAATCCATGACTGACCCAATCCTCCAACATATGAGTGAGCGACTCAAGTGCGTTTTGTTATAGGGTAGTCCAGAGGCTATTAAAAGATATCAAAATAGATCTAAATCTTCTAAAGATCTGAGTTAAATCTCTCAAAGCCAGGCTATATTTAAATTCTCCCTTTAAATCTGGCTGCAGCAAAGTATAGACATGAATGTTGAATTCATAGAGGCTACTCACTAGATCCAGATTGCTATAGGGCATGAGAAGCTATTATCTACAAACCCCTGGCAAAAAGGGTCATATTCTAAACAGATAAGGAAAAAAAATTAACAACTTTTCATTTTTTGGTATATAAAAGTAAATTTATAACATTAATCTACTATAGTGGCAGATAATTAAATAATAAGACACTTAAATTATTTACCAATTAACTTCAAGTACCAAAGGGAGAGCATTTCTGTAAAGCTTGACCCTCCTTGTAAAGACACAGCTCAGGCACTACCTGAATCTTCTCTACAGAGGTGGTCTGTGAAGCTGTGTGTCAGCGATGCCTCACACTGTCTCTACCGCTCCTTATATTGCAAATTCAGTGATGACTTCTTATTTCGTGAAATGTCACCCACCAGTGAGAAAAAAAAATAATGCTTAAAAAATGTTAAGTTAAAAGAGAAGTTCCTGTTGCCCTGCCCTCATTAGGAAATTGAAACAGAAAAGAACAGGGATGGCCAGGGGAATGGAGGGGGCAGTAGTCAGAGCCTCTGAAGAGAATTAAATGACAACCTACATAAAGTGAGGGAGGTTTAACATTAATTCTGATAACCTTTTCTTTCTTTTTTTTAAATTTAAAACTTAGGTGCAATATAACTACTTAAATCTTTCCGCAAATTTTCACTTTGATTACTGTTGTCTACTAACAATTATATGTATTTTCTTCTACAGAAGTACTCGAAAGTATGTTTTTCAAACATCCTATGCCTCATGGGATATAATATTAATTTTCAGAACTAAGTTACATTAACACACACTGTCAGTAAAATGCATATTTACAAATTTCAAAAGAATGCTATAGCTCTGGAAACACCCCCGATAAAAAATATCTTCTGCAAACATATCTTCTGCAGAAATAAATGAACTCCGCTTACTTGTATTGATCAGAAACTGATTTGACACACCAGGATGGTCTACATCGTGTATTGCACTGGCAAAAATGGCCGCAAGGATCTCCAAATCTGTAAACACAGCCTGGAAAAATCAGAAAATATAGAGAACATCACAACTCCATAACACGAATTCAAAGTATAAACAAATGGGAAATTTGTTTCTAGAATTTGATGAAAACAAAATGAAGCTTCAAAATATACTATCAATGTGTGAAGTAAAGAGTCTTTTAGGTAATGGGTTACTCATAAACTTTGAAGTATAACCTTGGAAGAAAATATTTCACCTAATTTTATCATAACTCACGATCAAACCTTTTCCATTGGTTATATTTTTAAAAATATTACAAAAGGGATACCTAAAATTATTTTTGAATAACATAATGAACAATTATTTCCTTTTCTTTCATTCAAACCAAGGTTTTTCAACCTCAGCAGAATTGACATTTTGGGCCAAATCATCTTTGCTATGGAAGGCTGTCCTGTGCATGGTAGGATTTTTAGCAGAATCCCTGGCCTTTACTCATGAGATGTCAGTAGCATGTACACCCTCAGTTGTGACAGCCAAAAATGTCTCTACATATTGCCAAATGTCTCTGGGGGGGTGGGGGGAAGAAGAAAAGGGAGGAATTGCTTCCAGATGAGAAACACTCACTCAAATCATGAGGTATTAACACAGTTTTATAATGAAAACAATCTGAACTATAAAATATATTAGCAAAAAAGAATATTCCCCTAAACGATTAAGGAAATCAAATTGCTTTAATAAACATTTAATGGAACAACTTAGGATTTGTTAAAATTAAAGAAGTGTTTCCTTCTAATAAGCCTATGAAAAATATCAATGCACTGCTTATATTTTATAAAATAATTATCCTTTGAACTATAAATGCAAAAGCTATCAGCCTAAATTCCAAAACAGCAAACTGAAATTGAGTAAGCCAGATGTGTTTTAGGGAATGCCTAATTAGACCATTTCAAAGAAGTGGTGTCATCAACAGATAAATCCCTAAATCTTTGATCAAGTTTCACAGACAAAATCATCAAAGACTCTACTGTTTATTTACCACCAACACATTTTTTTTCTTTATAACTCAACATACTCCCAGTGAAGCCAATTATATTCTGCACTGCATACACTTTAGAATAAGTGAGGCCTTTATGGGTGGTGAGTTAGTGTCCATGAAGTGTTAGAAACCAGATTTACCTCCAGAGCAGGTGTGGACAACAGCACATGTGTCGACTGCACGACGTCAGCAGCATGGATATTGTTGTGGTAGGCCACGTCAGCGTGGTAATGGTCTTCCAGGGTCATAAGATACGTAATTAAAGTGTCTACCGGAATTTTAAATGTTTTTAATAAATCCCGTTCCTGTAGGAAAAGAAATCCTCTTAACATTTTGTCCTTCCATAAAAAGATTTTTCCATAGAGTATGTTAACAAAACAACAACAAATCACACCCAGTCACCCCCTAGCACTCCTAGGGAGGAAAATGGAAATCTCTGGGAAGATCCAGGCACATTAGGGATCAAACTAGAGTTGAGCTGCCCTTTTGGAGCCCAACGGTGCTTTACCCAAGATGTTTGGTGTCAGAAATGAGCTGCCAGTAATAAAAATGTCTGTGTCCCATGACTATGAAAGCAGCCTCAGTCTATAGCTACTGACTCAACCACTCAGTCACACCAACCAAAACTCAACATTCTCTCGAGGGCTGGCACCTGCTGTTCCAGTTCCAGGATACCTCCAGCCTCAACTCCTCATGTAAATCCTAACCCTGAGCTGGGACTAAAGTTCAACAAGAGTGAGCAACCAATATGGAGAAGCGAGAAGTCCACAAAACAGTAAAGAAATTATATCCTCAGATTAGTCAGCGGGAGGGCTTATTCATTTTAAAAGTTAGCACTTCATTCTCTGAGTTAGGTCATGTAAATTATTTGTAAAGTATTATTTAAATGAATCGATTAAAATTTTCCCATATCTTTTTCTTAAATGGAAAAGAAAAATAAGAATTTGGTTTATTTGTATTGTGCCCACAATTCAACCTTTCCATACCCTTATTTGTCCCTTGGGGGGCAAATAAGACAAAAGTACAAAATACATAAAACAGGCTTAATAACAAAGAAGATAAAATGCATGCACAATTCACAGACTGGACATTGTGTCACCAAGTAAAAGAAAGGTGATAGAACTTCACCACGGTACCTGAAAGATGGTGTGCATGATAACAGTCAAAGGCCGGTTACCAGACAGCTCTGCTATTCTGAAAACATGAAGGCCCCATTTGTTCACATCTTCTAGTTCCTGGGGTTGAAGAAAGATAAAAAAAAAAAAAAGAAAATTAAAAAAGAGAAAATTAGGAAAATGAAGTAAAATATGAAACAATGAACACAGTCATTTAAAAATTACTGACTTTAATGGAAAGATTGTTATATTAGAAAGAAGATTCATTTTACATGTAATGGATGCATCATGTAAGTACAGGCAAACTTTGGGCAAATTCACTAAATGTATCGAAAACTGTATTGCTTAACCTTATGCCTTTGACAATACAACATGTTCACATACTTTCACTATCAATCTCAAAGCATTTCTTCAATAGATAAAATCTACTCATAAAACTTTAACTATTCTCCTAAAACCTAGAAGATACAATAGATTTCTAACTCTGTAAGGTCAAACAATCAAGTATGTTTGATTCAAAAAAGTGAAGAACACATATCCCAGGCCAGCTGTCTCAATCCATAAATTAATAAAACCCAAATAATTTAGAGAGAGCTTTATAAAAGTGCTTTTCCATCTAAAACAAAACAAAACAAAAAACCCACAAATTAATGAACTTGTTCATCTATTTAAAAGAGAAGAAATCAAAATTCATCAAAAGGCAGTGCTGCATATTTATGATCATGACCCTTGAAATCATCTTACCTTGGCAAGGACATCTTCTTGTTCAGTTTTAACCCCAAACCTCGGGATGCTTGAGTTGGTCAAACTGGAACTGTGCATCAACTTCTTGACCCCACTAATCTGAGACATTGGCCTTTTCTTTTTCTCCTTTTCCTTCTGAGTTGGAGAAGGAATTTCCACTTCATGTTGCTTATCTTAAAAAATTAAAAAATGTTCTATATTTACTGTTAATTCTACCTGGTTTTTTTTATCATGTATAAATGGACACATTTGAATCGATCATTATATTGGGTTGTCAGAAAAGTCATGACACACTTTTTCTATGTTTTCCATTGCAAAAATACGTCATGACCTTTCCTACAACCCAATATATTCCAGAAAATATTACCAAGGAAAACCCTTTTTAGAGAAGTTGAATATTTACAATTTGATGTGGGCTTAATTTGATGCCCTCAAACACAAAATTAAGCAAATAAATCCCACTGAAAAATAATTAACATTAAATGCATTCAGTGGTTATGTCTTTGATAGAATGTCCTAATAAATTTTTTTTGAAAGGCTTGGAAAGAGCAAAACGTATTGATGATTTCCATTCTTCAAAAGGGAACTCCATTCCCATTTGAAATTCACTTAGTGGCTTCAAAACTGCTCTTGCCAAGTAAGGACTCTAGTTTCAATATAACTTTGAAATAGTAGAAACTTAATACACAAATATAAAAACAGCAGTGTGTGAACTTCACAGCTCACTGAAATGAATCATAATGTGGGAGTACAAACAGCTTTTCTGTATGACTTAGATTGCTTTTGATAGTTTACATTTTCTATACTATAGTGAGATAGGGGTTATGATGTAACAAGGTTTTATGGGGAGCACAGAGAATCTCTAATATTATCTGATAAGTGAATATTTAATTCACAAAAGCTATCTGTTGCTTTCACATAAAAGATATCAAATGTCTCAGTACATTCATCCCCTATTTCAAGGCATCCTCTAACTCATCCGTGCACATAGTGTATGTTCAATAAGTGTTTGTTTAGTGCTAATTAGATATTCAGCAATTTTGTTTGGAAAGCAAAGTCAAATCAAGGACATGTTCAAGTTATTGACTCCGACTTAGTGCACTTTCTTTCAATGGATGGGAGGGTGGGGTGGGAGTGGTGTCCCAGTACGTCATACTCCCTGCTGTTATTATCAGCAAACTTTTCTTTAGCAATTGTATTGTATCTACCTGCCTCACCAGTTTACCAAGCGTGGTGCCCGTTAGACTATGGACTCACTGAGGGCAGGGGCTATTTCTAATTTATCATTAAATACCTAGTGCCCAACAATGGTTGGCATGTAACAAGAATCTGCTGAATGTATGTATATATAGATTGCTCTAAAAAATACATTTTATAGTTTAGTATTTTGGAAAAACTGGCAATAGACAACTTTAATTCAGAAAATCCCTAAACTCCTCAATAAAACTAAAAGATGAGACATTTTACTTTATTACCTTAGTATCTAAAGCTCAGAGTCTCAAATTATTAATATGAATGAAAACAAGTGAAAAGTCCTAACACTTATTTAGTTTCCAAAATGAGTTGGTTCCACCTCCAAAAAACAAACAACTCAAAAGAAAATTTAAGAAGTGCACTTAAATTGTTATTCTCACCTAAGAATGTGTTTGATATATACTCTGACACTTGATTTCCAGACCGACTCATTTCCGAGAGATGGGTGAGCTCCCGATTAAGCATCCTTTTAAACTGAAAGGCAGAAAGATAAAATGAAATCACAGGAAAATTTAAGGAAAATAACATAAGCATACACTGAGATACAGAAAATATGGCCAAAGAATTTTTAACTTGTCTTGATACTTTGATCAGTTCCTTCCAAACAGAGTTTCTGCAATGATGGAATCAAATCTATAATCTGTACCGTCCATTCGAGTGGCCACTAGCTACATGTGGCTATGAAGCACTTAAAATGTGGCTAATGCAAATGAGGAGCTGAATTTTGATTTTTGTTTAATTTTAATTAATTTAAATTTAAATAATGATATGTGGCTAGGAGGTACTATATCGGACAGAGCAGATTTAGACACTCAAAGACATTAATTAAGGGGAGGAAAGGGCATACAGTAACTTCTATTAGCTACATGATCCAAAAAAGTCACATTTTACTCTAACATTTAATAACATTTAAAATTTTGAATTTCACCATAAATTTTCATTTAAGTCTGAGGTAAAGACAATAGTGAGCTTATTATTTAGCGATGTTTAAAACGTGAGTCTAACTCAGTATTTAATTACTTTTTTGGAATTTTTTTTTCATCTTACTTCTCTGTATAATTCATACTGTGGTATTCAACTCAAGATAATTTGGCAAATTACTTCCAAAGTCAATCTTATTGACTATCTAGACTAGGTATAAGAATTTATCACCCACCACAAAGCACTGAGGAAGATCAATAAAAACATTCCAAAACACTATTGGAAATAAGAAATGAATATGAGCACTATCAAAACTGAAGAACTGGCCATAACCAATACAAATTCTTCTGGCTGTTAATTTATATGCCTACAGAGCACATTCTCAAACTCAGGAGTACAAAATTCACTTTCTTTGTTCATGTATTTTTTTTTAATAACTGGTCTCTGATCATAAACTGCACATGTGATATAGAACTGTAGAAAGCTATATAGAAAAAAATGAGCAATTGTGTATACCTCCACTGCTCAGAGATAACTATAGATAATTAGTTGTATTTCCTTGTATGCATTTTTTTACATTTGTCTGGATGTATATTTTTAAAATTGGCATCATATGCAGTATACAAAACATAGATTGATGCTGATTTTCACTTAGCATTATATATATTATGATACACTGGGGAAAAATAAATTTCGAGGCCTTCTAAGAATACTCATGAAGACATTTACAATAGTGTTCAAAACATGTTTCTGTCCATCTTTTATAAAGTTATATTTTCTTGAGTAAGTTATAGGCTGCCAACTAATTAAATGAGCTAATAGAAAGAAGCTAGTATTTAGCACAGCACACAGTAGGTGTTCAACATTATTTGAGCTCATTTTATCTCTCAGTTCCCTGGGTCTTTTCTAGTGATGGTTGGTTTTTATCATTGTAGGACAAACAGATGTAAGGTCTGACTATAGTTATTCTCATTGAAAACACATATCTAAATAGCTCCCCTACCCATTCCAATTAAATAATTTAGGATATTATTCATATAAAAATTGGTTACCATGCTTCAAAAATATAATGATAATACCATGCACAAGGCCCAAAGGTAAGTACACCTTTGCTTAACAAATAAAATTTAATCTTGGAAAAATCTTTACGTAAAACATATTCAAAAGAGTCTGCTAGACATTTTAAACATACATATAATGAACTACCTCTGTGTGAAACTGTCCATGCTATAAGCTAACCGTTGCTATTAAGAACTACCTAGTCATGCCAAAGTACTTTTTTATAAGCTAGGGGGATAGGCAAGGCTTTCAGCCACTCTTAGCCTTTTCACAGTCTATCAGGAACCATTGCCCACCTGCCCTCCATGCATTTCTCTCAATGTAACTCAACACAAACTTGGGGGAGAGCGGGGGTGCACCATTGGAAAAGTGAGAGAGGGACCCAGTTTTTCTACAGAACCGCCTTCCAACTTGTAAGCAGCCTGGTAGGAGGGGTATGTTGCCATATACTCAAGCAGAAAATCTGTACAGTAACTGCAGATTCCCTACACAAATTATTGGATTTATCTGGAAGACTATATAGAATGAAGTCTAATTTTCCTGGCAGTTTGCTTACACAAGTTGTCAAAATAGCCAGTTAGTACACATAACCAAGGCAGGAAATGTCAGTGAAAGGAATCCATTGTAGAGGATGATAAATGACAGGCTGCATATCCCACTGATGATTTTTGCGTCATATACGTATATTCCTAGATATTCTTCTGTCTTTGTTCAAAACCCAAAAGTGTGGGGTGGAGAAACCCTTCTGTGCACACCTATCTCCCTACCAAGGCTAGTGAGGTGCTCCAAGAAAGTCACCATTTCTTTTAACATAATAATTAAAAGAGATATTTAAAGCAGTCCTTTTTCTTCCCAAGGGAAAAGGTGTGAGAGATCTCTCAAAGACAATTTTCAAATAGTCAATTAAGTTATAACATATGGGCATTTTCTAAAAGGAATTAAACTTATTCTGCTTTTTTGCTATTGATATAAAACTCTCAGTCCAGGGAAGCTAGAATAATAACCACAAAAATTACCATCAGTGTTTTCTCAACTGACAGTTGATCTCACAATTTGGTTTTGGAGCATATAGGTAGATCCGCTAAAGAACTATAAACTAAAGCATTAAATAATCACTTCTAAATGTAAGTGGAATTTCTCTTATTTTAAGATGACTACATGCCATTTATTAGGATAACTATACAAAATTACCATGAGGGAGAAAACGAAAAGATAACAGAAAAGGCAATAAAATGCATTTTTCCTAGGACACTGTGACATTTTCCATTTACAGACTTAGAAGAGATAAAATACAGAACTGCTTTCCAAAAAAACTGGTTGCAAAATGCGGAGTAACTTAATTGGTTTTTAGTTGTTTTTAAAAGTGACCTCTAAATATGTTCTGTTGATAAGTTATTCTGATGGTTTTTTATCTAAATAGTCTAAAATATATAGAATTATGGTTGCAACAAAGAAAAAAAAGAGAAGATTTCTGAGTTAATGCTTTCAAATCCTTTGTTCTCATTGTGCCTCAGAATGTCTGTGTGCAGCATTTAAAGCAGGAAGGAAAGTGAAAATGCAGTGAACTGAATACTGTATTTTGTTTTTTAAACTCCAGTTCCCGACTTCATATTCTACATTTAAGACTGTTGAGGAAGCAAAATAATCAAAAATTTTAAGTCTTCTTAAATTTAATCCCTTTATTTATGCATTCATGCCAATGTGCTACTGGGTATATCATATATATATATATATATATATATATATATATATATATATATATATATGTAAGTATATGAGTAAGAAGGTGATAAAAGGTCAAAAATTAAGAGAATACTTGCTTCCCCCTCCCCCTCCCACAACATTCTGTTAAAAAATCACTTGAATATGCTGCACTGTGATACACTACAAGTTTGGTAGATATCAGCATTAAAAGCTCAAATAAATACTACATTGGTTGCATAAAAATCAATCCCTTAACTTGTATAAAAATACTAAATATATTTAAATTTGTCCTTAAGTGTTTTAGCAATATACTATTAAAAACATAAACAAAGCTGTCCATCAAAATTTTTTCCTCAAAAAGATAAGCACTAAAATTCTGTATTTAGATTCTTAGAGGTATAGTTCATAATCATAATACAAAATTAGAAGCACTTCAAAAATGTATCAAATATGAGCTGTCTAAAAGCTAAGAGATGAATTCTAGGGGGATTTTGAGGGTTTCCTTTATTACCCTCTATACTTTTTTGTATTAAAAAAAAGAAGAATTCAGCCAAGAAATGGCTAGCAAAATTCAAATAATGAAAATTTGTATTTTAAAAAACAATAAAAGATAATCTAGAGCCTAGACCATCTACAGATTTAAAGAGGTAGGGAATCATAACCTCTTGGACAACTAAAACTGAAATAAGTTTTCTTGGAATGCAGGTGAATCTCACATCAAAAAGTAAATTGTCCTTTAAAAATAAACAAAAGAAGTGAAAAATATTTCAAACTGAGTATCCTTAAAGCAATGGGAAGGAATTCTTAAAAATAAGGTATTGTGATTTACTCAGATATTCAAGAACTAATTTCAATTTCTGAAGTGATGCTTCATTTAGGACTGAAAAGGTTTTTCTATCCTCTGCTTCTATTACAGAGATAGGATCATCGGGCTAGTATTACCAGGGGGGCAGGCAAGAAGCTTGCCATCAGGTACAGTCTTATTAAATCCAGTGTATTATTTCGTTTCTTGAGATTAACGAAGTAGCAGTATTATATAAACTTACAAATTTCTTCCAGTTTTACGAGTAGATAATCAAGTTTTCATTTGAATGAAATACCACTTAAAAAGTCAAGTAATGTCAATTTTTAATCAAGAGCTTTATATCCAAATGTGGAAAAAAAAACATACTCTTCATCAAATTAAAGAAGTACACATTTTTAGAAAGAGCCACATATTAATTTTTATAAACTTTAATTGTTACATACTAACTGGAACCCACACACCAGTATAAGTAATTTGGCCCAATATGTTATTTCCAAAGAATTTATTTCATTATCTTGATATTTACAAGCATAATTCAAATCTATACAACATGACAGAGGAACCACTACACATTAAAAAGCTATTTTAACATGCAAACTAATATAAGTTACATAATTTCCCCTTATCTTGACTACTAAAAACACATATTTCTTCTGTAGTCATGTCTAAAAAAAAAATAAGAGATTGCTTAGGGAGCTTAACTCCATTGTAATTTATTAAAACTATCAGCTATATAATCAGAGTAATCAGAAGTTTACAAACGCTAAACAAATCTTACCTTTATGTAGCCCCAAGACACTGACAGTAAATAGTTTGCTTCAGGCATTTTTGATTGATATAGAGGGAGATAATAAGTTCTAAAATATGTATGTCTCCAAAACCTTGATAGTTTAACAATCTCCACAAGCCTCGGAGTGTGTGGGTTGTTAAAGGTTATTGGTGATTAAGTATACATAATAATGCTGGCATTAGATCCCATCCAGCA